CTAGAACACAGCCGCTCGCGGTAGAAAAGGGGAATCCACACAGTCGCTTCTCGTTGAGAGTGAAGAACGTAGAAGCGTATACAAGCCATCCGCTGATGTCTATGTATATAGTATTTGCCACCGCGTCCTTATAGTCAACGTTCACAGTCGCTGCTCGAATGCTTCTCTCCCTTCCCCACCTTTACCTCCGCGTCTTTCCATGCGCCTTCAAAGCAAACACGGTGTTTACGCTTTGCTTCAGCAGCATTTGATGACATGCTTCACCCGCGGGTTAATCTTATCGCATGCGCCCTCTGATCGATGGAGATCGGCCGATGTGTTTGGTCAGCCGTGTTCTCCCCCACCGTTAACGTGCTTTTACCCGCGTGTCGATAATACGGTACACAAGGGAATGACGTTGATGGGGAATTTTTACGGAACATGATGGCCGGAACCTAACTATAGGGTCCATATAGTTGATATCGCAATAACACACAGTTGAGATAAAACACGATATTATATGTGTACTGGAATGCTATTTTTTAGCCTCTTCGAAGAAGCCCTACACATTGATTCATAAACAGGAGAGACTTTTCGTCATTTCGATAGATAGATAGATAGATAGATAGATAGATAGATAGATAGATAGATAGATAGATAGATAGATAGATAGATAGATAGATAGATAGATAGATAGATAGATAGATAGATAGATAGATAGATAGATAGATAGATAGATAGATAGATAGATAGATAGATAGATAGATACTACACAGAAATGCTTCGCATTCAAAAAGCAACGGCAAAACGTATAATTTCACCATATACTATGCCTTGCTCCTATACTCTTAGTTCGTGTTCTTTACATCGGTGAATTTTGGGACCTGAGAAGAGCATAACGAACTCATGAAAACGGGAAGCAAGTTTACACCACAATACGCATACGAAAAAACGAAAGAACTTTGTTCCCCTAACTTGATCAAGCATTGTTTTCCATAAGGTGTTTAAAAGAATAAAGTAAGAATTACAAATGTACAAGTTAAGACTGTGACACGCGCGCAGTACTTAAAAATGCACTAAAAAGTAATAAAAATAAAAGACAGACTAGACTCCTCAAGATCACAACGTGAAATCGAAACTGAAAGAGAAACTTGTTTGTTTTGTTTTAGTGGTGACATCTTGTAGGATGATGTGGAACTGAAAAAAAAAAAAAAAAGCGCCCGACGCGCGGCCTTGAATTATGACAGCGCGCTGATGCTGCGCCCCTCAACTGAGCGAGTAACGCACTCGGCCAAGATTGCCACTGAGCCGTCAGCGAGAAGCAACAATTTATCAATATACCACAAGCGCTTAAAGGACGGCGTTAGACAAAACGCGTTAGGAACAATGTTACGCCGAAAGCGGCACGTTGAGAATAACTTCAATCGAAACCTGAGGGTCAGGATTACATATGGTGCACTGACCATTAAGAGAACCTGTTTAGTTTTACTGCAGTGAACGTTTTTGTCCAAAAAAACAGGCCACTTTTTTTCGACGTTTCCATACACTCCCATTGAACGATCTTTAACTGCTCTGGCAACAAAATTGAAGCTTACCCCAACATGATCGCTGCAGCCTTCTTGTCCGTTTAGGGTCCCAGACGCGCTCTGTTGTCTTCGTTTTTCAACATTCACCTTAATAATGAATTATCAATTATTCGAGGAAAACGCACTTGTTCCATTGAAAACGCGCTAGTTTTGAGCCGGGACCACTATGGGCGCTGACTGTTATGTGCCCAGAAAAGCTGAATATGCGCATGTTGCTGTTTTTTAGTTTGCGTTCACTTGAGTGGAGAAAGTTACGTCTTTGTCATTATCAGTATTTATACCCACCCAGTATGTTTTGCCAGTATTTAATGTGAGGGAGTCTTCGCGGGCCACCTGAGAGCGGATGTCGAGGAGGTGCTCCATGTCTGCTGGGGATTCGGCGAGTAGCACGGTGTCGTCAGCGAATGCTAGGCATAAAATTTTGGCATAGACTTCTTTGCGCTCAGTTGTAATGGTGGAAAGGCGCAGTCTTAGTCCTTCTCTATTTTCTCCAGCAGGCTATCAATGCAAATCTTGATTAGTGTTGGCGACAGTGGGCACGCCCTTGCTTGAGTCCAGTATTTTGTTTCACTGTTCTAGATTCATATTCTCCAAGTTCATACACTGCCGTACACTCCACATAAAGAGCGCTTACTAATTTTATGAAGTCTTCGTCGATCTTAATGCCCTCCAGTCTCTCCCACAGTCTTGAGTGTGATACTGAACCATTTGCTTGTAAATCCAGGTATGCTTGTTGCTGCTGGCGTCGCTAGCTGTCACTATATAGTGCAACCGTTTGTTTGTGGCTTGTTTCATGGCTCACTGTTTGCGTGGTTTGTATTTGGCGCACGTTGTCGACTGCAGGCTGCAGTATGGTGTACTGCATGGAGGAAGGAAAAAAAAAAATGGCAGCATATCCACGGAGTGAATGATAGATAAGATAGTGGGGCGAAGCGTCCGTCCGTCCATTCGTTCTTGCTTCCGTCCATCCATGCGTGCGTCTGTGTGGCCGCCCGTGCGTCCGTCCCTGCTTTCGTCCATGCATCCGCTCCTGCGTCCGTCCATGCGTTCATCCGTCCGTGCAGCCATCCGTACGTCCGTCCATGCATCTGTCTGTGTGTCCATTCGTCCATCTAGTCAACACTCCAAGTACCACCATCTCGCATCTTTTCATCATATATTCCTCATATAGAAGCATCGCCATCCAGCAGACATTCCAAGGACTGAACAAGAGGAGGCACACGCACACTTTCTTACGGCTTGCGCTTCGTGTCTACTTCCCACCTTTAACCACCTCGAGTTCATGGTATATACCGTATTCATGGCACTGCGGCCCAACACTCGCTAAACCTTTCTAAAACCAAGGAGGTTACGCCCAGCGAGTATAACGTAGCAACCCTTTCTTGTCTTCTGTACGTTGTTGAACAATAAAAAATCGCAGCGTGCGCGTTAACTAAAAGCCGAATTCTCCTGTCTCTCATTCCCCCTTAGCAGCCATTGGCATGTACATTGAGCCCTATCTTTTATTGTTCAACAACGCACAGAAGAAATATCTCACCGGCACCACCTTGGAGGTCAAAATGTTATACTTGTTCACAGCCGGACTAGAGGGGCGAGGAGCGCACTCCCGGACTTGTTACACACTACTACAACGGCTACGAGGGACGAACGGGTGCCGCCATAAAAAGCTTCGCCCCTAAAAAAAAAAAAAAAAAACACCTTCCCTCCATGGTGTACTAGAATGGGTCTGTCGCCGAAAGCATGGCTTTTTTTGTGATGACGGCTAGCAGCGCTGGAGCACACCATAGTATACTGTGTCACCACTTGTCGACACCCTTTGAAGTAATTTGTGAGAAGCTGAGATGCAAAGCCTTTAAGATTGGTATTTGTAGTTGCCGCCCTGCGGGGGAACTCGACGATTGTCGTCGTCTGTTTCTCATGACCCGTCAGCGAATTTTGGCGCGTGCATGGAGGACTCGGCATTTGCGGAAGCCCGATGCACTGCAGTTTGCGCAGGCCAACAGTTCAGACTCACAAACTATATCCATCACCCTGAGTACTTTGCGGAAAATATATAGCTGCGTATCTGGACTGCGGCGTCCCCTTGATGAGTAAAATGTATTAAAAAGTAGAGATGTATTCGTCCGTGAGCATTATTTTTTTAAACATTGCGACTACTTACTCTCCTGGCTCATGCAGGTAAGTGGTGATCGTGGAACTCACCCGATGATAACGTTATCCTTCAGAACCTCCTCGTTTGTTTCGCCGCATGATTTCAAGTTAGTGTGATAACTAGGCAGGAGTAAATCATCATCATCATCATGATCCTGACTACGTCCACTGCAGGACAAAGGCCTCTCCCATGTTCCGCCAGTTAACCCGGTCCTGTGCTTGCTGCTGCGAATTTATACCCACAAACTTCTTAATCTCACCTGCCCACCTAACCTTCGGTCTCCCCCTAACCCGCTTCCCTTCTCTGGGAATCTAGTTTGTTACCCTTAATGACCTTAATGACCCTGCATGTAGCGCGTAGACAGGAGTAAATATGGATCAAATAAATAGCGATGTACTTTTTTATGCTTTTTGAAATCAAAACAGTAAGCAAGCAGACGATCTGGGTCCCTGTCATGCGATAAGAATTGTGCGAGCTAAGACTACGCAGAAGCAGCATCTTTTATCTCATTAATGCATTCCTATGTGTTTGATGTGTTTTAATTTTGCACATACAAACTCCTGATCAGACCAATGACACAGAGCATGCGAAAGCTGCAACACTGGGCTCTAGTTCAGAGAGTGGCAGGTGGGTCTGCTTTTTTTTTTCTTCTTAAGATCGATGCTCATAAACACTGTTATTTTGTTTGTGAACACTGGGTTGGAGTCCTTTGAAATCTTGTACTGAATGATGAGGCAGGCCTGATGTCCTAGGTGCTGTGCTGATGTCCTAGGTGCTGATGTCCTAGGTGCTTCACACATTAACAATAATGCAATATCCTATTTGCATTTATAATGTTTATATTGTTTGCTCAGAAATATAAAATTTTATACTAAAATAATCGTATTTACATTTCCGCTCTTCATGTGTATTAATCTCAGAATAAGCTCTTCATTCTACTGTACTTCAATCGTGCGATCACGGTAATATACTGAGATGACAATATAGGACAGGACCTTCTCGAGGAGCGATGGCTAACTGCACTGACTAGCTTAGATCTGCACGACCAACTGTGGGCAATCTAGCACGCCTGGACAGCACATCAGTGGAAAGGCTATGCCGCTATTTCTCACCACACATAATGTCCGGTTGGCCTGAGGCCGGGCCGGTGATTTGGCAGGGGCTTTTTAAATAAAGTTGTTCCCCGTCCATCCACAAGGTCCGCCATGCAAATTTAAATTACGCGCGCTAGACGCACCGTTCGATCGTGGCGCCTCGCTGGTGGCGTCATCGCAAATGCGACCACCTGTGAAGGCGGCAGCGACGGCAGCTCAGAGAACACAACAGCTGTCAGCAGCCAGTTCGTTCGGAAGAAGAATCGTTCGTTGCTGATCGTGCGCGGACTGCATCTACCAACGCCTCCTGCCCTAGCCCGTATTTTCTGCGCTGTAGCTTGTTCAACTCTGTCCACCCTCTCCGGTGGGAATAAATTTTTTCAAGCCACTGCAGTGCGAAAGCATTATGCTCATCAAAGTAAAGGTGAGTCGAAAACTACATTTTTTATTGAATGTCAGCGTTGCATAAACACAGCTTCAGTGTTGTCACCCACCCGCCCTCCCCTTTTTGTTAACTGTTGTTGGCGGTAAATTTGTTTCCTTAAGGCTGCTGTTGGCGAAACGAACAGTTCTAGCGTTGTTTCCTGACGGAAATTTTCTTGTTCATTGCATGTCATGTCACCTGTCACGTCAGACGCTCACCGGCAAGGAGGTAATGTTGGCTCGTTTGTTTTAAATTATTATTAACTCTTGTTTTCTTATTGTTACTTGGAATACCAATCCAGTTGATTTTGTTTGCAGATAGAAATCGACATTGAACCCAACGACAAGGTATGCTAGCTCATAACCAGTGCTGATACACTGCCCTGACGTCGCCTGCTTGAATATTTTAGGTGGAACGGATCAAGGAGAGGGTTGAAGAAAAGGAAGGCATTCCACCGGCTCAGCAAAGATTGATTTACAGCGGCAAACAGATGTAAGCGTGGATACTAGGGGGCGGGGTGGTTCTGAGCTCATGTCCTTTGTAAACGGAATCCATTTCAACTTTGCCTTTTGAATTTTAGCGATAATTTGTTCGGCATTTTACCTTTGTTTTTATGCTGCTCGTATGCGGCTCGTATGCTGCCGTTGCTGAATTTATTGGTGCATCATCACAATTATTCTGCCTATTCACTGCTGTTGCTCTCGAAGGTGCTTAAAAGTTGCAAGATTGTAGCTTGCACTTTCAGCCTAGCAGTCTTAACATTATGTGGCTTCTACTCTGTGTGACTGCCACTTCTTCATCTCTCAGAGCAGCAATGCAAAGTAGTGACTTCTCTGTTTCACTGTTAGCGTAGGGCAGTGTTTCATTTATTATGCCAGGACAACTGCTACATTGGGCTTTCGTTATAACATGCATTCCTGGAGTGTTGCTCTGCTGAAGTTTGCAGGTTTGATTCCTGGCTAGGGTTGAGGCATTTTGATGTGGATGAGATGCTGTAACACACAAGATTTAGGTCAGCTTATGCAACTCCAGGTAGTCAAAATTAATCAGGAGTCCCCTACTATGGGGTGTCCCAATCATGTCAAGGTTCTCACTCACAAGAAAAAAACCCTAGAAATTGTTATATTGGAACATGTGCCAATTGCAGTCTTCTGCCGCCTCGTCGTAGGTTCCTGGCAAGCTTGTTCATGGAGTTTGTGCGCAGCAAAGGCATGGGGGACTTCTGCCCTGTAGTTTGTAAGGAGGCAGATTTGTGATAACGTAAGAAGTTTCTGGCTGCCAACTCATCTTGCATTTTTGAATGCACCCCCCCTCACATTTTTGTAGTCACACTTTCTTGGCAGTGAAATCGAAGAATGCGTGTGGAATTCGGTACAGAACCCGAAGTGAAAAATTAACCTGGAGTCCTCCAGTATGTGGTGCTTGTGGTATGTGGTACTCCAGTACGTTCGCATGACTCCCAGTAAGACATCCCAGAGATGCGAGCACCGTACATGAAGGTGGAGCTTCAGGCAGCAATTGACCAGGCAAAAGTATGCAAGGCACCAAGACCAGATGGGATCCCTTATGAGGTGTTCAAAAACATTGATGGCCCTGCATTGAAGTGGCCGCTGGACACGTTTCATAAAATTGGAACGACCGGAAAGTTGCCTGAATTGTCAAAGCATGCCGAAGTTGTGCCAATATCAAAGCCAGGAAAGCTTCTAATCATTAGCCGATCACTCTCACTTGTACATTTTGGAACATGTGTTGGTATCGTGCATCTCCTGGTGGGTGGAAAAGCACGCTTGGTACCATCCGGCCCAGATGGGTTCTCTACTGCAATTGGGCACGGAAGATGGCCTAGACCGTATGTCAGTGGTGCGTAAGGAACAGCAAGTACCATTCGAACCTTTCTCGCCATGGACCTTCATAAGGTTTATGACGTCAGTCACTCTGCGTTGTATTTGTGTAATGCATTGGCTGCAACTTCTGCCTAGAGCCTGTGACTTCATGGTGTTTTTTTCTGGCACATTAAAATCTCAGCAGCATCATCGCCCCGCCGCGGTGGTCTAGTGGCTAAGGTACTCGGCTGCTGACCCGCAGGTCGCGGGTTCAAATCCCGGCTGCGGCGGCTGCATTTCCGATGGAGGCAGAAATGTTGTAGGCCCGTGTGCTCAGATTTGGGTGCACGTTAAAGAACCCCAGGTGGTCGAAATTCCCGGATCCCTTCACTACGGCGTCTCTCATAATCATATGGTGGTTTTGGGACGTTAAACCTTACAAATCAATCAAAATCTCGGCATCAGTCTGGAAAGAAAAAAACCGGACCCGGTCGCAAAGCGGGGTGTATCGCAGGGCTTGATGCTGGGTCAGATACTTTTTAAAATTGTCCTATTGCCCCTGGCGTGGAAACTTGCAAACATTCCAGATGCCTTCTTCCGCCTGTATGCGGAAGACTTCACTGTGTGCACATTATATCCATTTCTGCGACACCAGATGCATGCACTCCAGAGTGCTCTAGACAAGGCCTCAGACTGGCGTGCGCACATAGGACTGACACTATCTGCCGCAAAGACTGTATTCATGTCTACCACCAACAGACAAGATCGCTGTCACCTCCCACAGGTGCCGATTTGTTTGAACCTAAATGACCAAGCCCTTGAATAAGTTGAATTAGATGCAAGTGCATGGGTTTGCTCTGCTCGTCAGAAGAGTGCTAATACCCTCCATCTTATTTGTCACATTTCTCAAAAGACCGGAGGTGCTTGCTCTTGAATGGCCTATACTTTAGTGTGGTTTATCCTGCAACCTCGGCTTGTTAATCAAGCTCAGTTTCAACGCCTGACATTGCGAGATTGGTACTTGTTCGAAACTGCTAACAGAGATGACATGAGGGCGATCACATGCCTTGCTCCGATAACACTTGTCGTGACCCTCCAGATGTAAGCGCAGCTCAATAACATCTACAAAATTGAACACGAGTGCCCAATCTCTTGCCACCTAAATATTCGAGCTGTTCCTGCGGCGATGGCTCTAGCTCACTACCATAATTCAACGCTGCCACAGCCTGTCTCACTCTTGCCAGAAATCCCGCCTTGGCTCGAGGAACAGGCCACCTGTGCTACCGAGAAGTGGCACAGGAGGCCGTTGTCTCTACTATTGAGAACTCGCTAGCGGTATACAACGAAGTTCAACACCGGCTGCCTCTACTTCATTTGTCCCCAAAAGACAGCTTGCTCCTGTTCAGAAAGCCTCCGGCGCTCCAAGTGTGCACTCATTCCTCCGCATGGATAAGACCTTCCCGGCAGCTCAACTAGCCGAGAGGAAGTTGCACTCTGGATTCATGTACGTGCCGCCTTGAATCTTGTCATCTGGGCTACATGGACACTCGGTGTACAGCCTCCTGCAACATGCCCCTTCTGCATTGCCCCAGCCTTTAGCTGTATAACAGGACAGCTCTTTCTGCACTTGCTGGCAGCATTTCTTTCTTTTTTTCATTTCTATAATTAATGGGAGCCACTGTTGAGGTTGCCACCTAAGCACAGGAGCTTCAATGAGAAGCCTATGCACGATGGCGCAAATACTGGTGCGCTGTTCTATTTTGTCCTTAAGAGACCGTTTATGCAATTCCGAATTGCAGGTGTACAGCAGTGACAATGCTGGTAGCAGCATTTTTTGTGACTCGTAGTGTATACCTAAAGCACAAGAAAACTGCAATTACTTTTCTTGTTCTTATTTCCTGGTGTGAAGCGTTCATTCTTTATGTACTCTCCGAGTAATCAATTTTTCGAGAGAACATGTGCTCCCCACAAACGCCTCGGAGCTGTTATTCGCAGCGAGGTTTGACTATAGGTGGCAGCTCAGTCCCCGCTTAAGTCTGGATAGACGATCTACGGCACATATACAAATACACGTAGCGGCGCTTCGTTGCTTGCAGACTGAGTCGATTGTCGGTTGATTAAATGCATTGAATACACTTTACTGTTAATATCTATGCTCTTCTTTACTGAATTGGTGCATGAGGCCTATGCAACGTTAACATTACCCGCGAGTAAATGCATTCTGCCTTTCATACGGATGCTCGCCCTGGGTGACTCTCTTCATGTTTTTCACTAAATCACACCTTTTCTGTGTTGCTTGTATGTGGTTAGCTTGTTTCGTCTGCTACCCACTGCTATAGCGTGACTGAACTATTTATATACATCTTCGTCATCCGCATACTACAAAAAAGAAAGGAAGATCGTTGAAAGCTCGCATGCCTGTGTAATTAGTTCAGTACTACGGTTTGCACCTTATACGCATATATTTTTTTTCATTCTGATCACGAAATGTGGGACAGTCAACGAGTCTAGTCAGGAAAGCTTAGTGGCCGACGGGGCTCTACGCTTCACTGCGTTTACCATGTGCACGCACGTTTCCTTGCACCAGTAAAAATATAAAAATCTTATGTAAGAGTTCAGCAGAAAGCTTTCATCGTTGGATTACATGCATGACAGTGCTACAATGAAAGCCTGGTTAATGGGATAAGCATGTTTTTGTTTTCAGACAAAAGACCACTGCCTTCCGTAGGTCACTAACATTACCCCACAAATGTTGAAGACAATGTAAAAAAGATGAAATTTTCAGTGAAATTGTACGACATTATATCTAAGGCATGCCATCAGAATTTTCAACGTCTGGGCTGTTTAAAGCGTTCTTAAATCTAAGCACACGGTTGTGCACGGTAACTCTGTTCTAAGTACAGTTTAAGTACCGATGTGTCACCGTTTATGTGATGGTAATATTTCTATGTAGTGGTACCACGGCCAGATAAACGCAATCATGGCTCCACGCATGATCGATAAATTACAGTGCCTTACTTGTACGCCTGCCAACAGCGTGCAAGTGCATGGCCTATAGCTTGTTTTTTCTGTTTTTTTTTTTTTTTTCCACAACTGGGGCAGACAGAGGACTCCCGCTTAAGAGCGCTCGTTTCCATTGGCATTGGAAAAAATAAAGGTGTTGCAGAAATGCTCAGTGTCTGCGGTACACAGTGCTTTGCATTGAAAAATGAATAATGTGGTGCAAGAGTGTTTCTCCAATGTCCTCCATAAGATAATTAATATGGCTCCTAATTATTTTCATTTTAAAATGCAAATTCAATTTTGCCATTTTACCAAGCAGTCAACAGGATTGTTGGTACTGTATACTCAATTTGCAACCACATAATGACATATTTGTTTACCAAATCACCTGTTTACCAAATCACTCTATTGACATGAATGTGTAAACGGTAGCATAAATAAAAAAGACTGTTAAAAGTAAGGATAAATCGCAGAGCTTACTTTGGCAGCACGTAAGAAAAGATGTAATGAAGTTGAAGTCTCCATACCAAAAAGAAAGTCGCAGACCTAGGTGATGTTAAAAAAAAAATGGGCGACTGAGAAAGCACTTGTGCTAAGAATAGTTTTTTTGATATCGAGAGTTCTTTAATAGAGGTAGCCGAAAGCAAATGGCATTGTACGCCATGATATTGTCTGTTAGGTAAACGCTTGAGCTGTTTCATGTAGCATTGATAACGGCTCCTCTATAGTTAGAATCTTATATGCACATAACTCGATTGCGTGTTGTTCAAACCTAAATGCACAAAATCGCTAATCCGTGAAAGCCATATAAATGAAAAGCAACCCTGTGATTCAGAATTTATAATGAAACACCAAGAAGGAGAGGGGCGTTGTGATTTGTGCGATTCGTTGCTGCACTCATTGTGGTATGCAACACTAGTAAGTGGTTAAGGGTCAGTGTCTTGGCACAGAAACAAGTAAGGAGGGAAAAATGGGGAATACAAAAGGCACGCGGGCAAACATGCAAACATCTATGTTCTCGCACTTGTTTCGGTGGATACTGCATGGGCGCCGTCATGTGTGTATGCCTCACCAAAAGGAACGCGCTTACCTCGCTGCCAGCCCTCACTGGTGGACTCCGACGAAAAGATAAAAATTATGTTGTTGCCGTTAGTTTTATGAACGTGGCTTAGTAGCAGCATTGACTTCACAAGTGGATTTAAGTCAGCGATTGTGGTTTCCGATTGCAGTGTGTGGTTGTGGTTTCCGATTGCAGTATCTTGTACCTTAAGATACACAATATATTATTCAATGCATTGAAAATAGACACTTCTCGTGGGAGAGGTATCCCAATTCAGGCACAAGAAACCCAAAGATTATCCAAGATACATGTAGCTTCAATACTGCCCAGCCCTGTTTAGTATAGTCAGAGAGCATTTCACGACACTTGTTCTATAATGTAGGAATGATTAACAAGACCACAGTAGTTTGAGGCTTGTCACTGTGGTTAAAATTAGATGTCTAAGAGTGAACTGGACAGATGTGTATGTTGTAAGCATCCAGTTGACACTTTTTGAAGTTAATCCTGTCATTCGGTTTACCAGCACTTTGCTGTAGTAGCACTGTGTTCAATGAAACAACGCAGATTGCACACAGTTACTTCAGTGTAGGCTGGTACAATTTCCACTGCAGGTCGTGGGAATTGTCTGCCAAGTGTGAAATGGCTACATGTCAAAATGACCAAAATTGCTAACAGAAAGCTCTGCACCCCATCTCTTAAAAAGAAAAAAAAATTTGCTTCCAGCAAAAAAGGCAAGGTTGTTAATTCCACAATTGTCTCTGCGAAAGACACTGCTGCTTGCAGTACAATTGACTGTGGCACCTTGTGTTGGTTTATCATTCTGCATAGAACACACACAGCAACTAGCTATGCTCATTGCAATAATAGGATGCAGTTGTTCAACATTACTTCTCAGATGACCCGGAAAAAAAAAAGGCACTTGGTTATGCTGTTAAAATTGAAGAACAAGCTTAAATATATACAGCCAAATCTCTTATTTCCTCTAGTGTAATATGTTCTCATTGCTTATGGATACTTTGACTTTTAAATGAAACTGGAAAATTAGTTTGTGTAGGGTGAGCATGCTGTTTCATCTCATTTTTCACATTCACTGTCAAGATTTCTTTCTGGATATCCTCTAACTAGGGTTTAAATAGTTAAGAAATTTTCAACAATAGCTACATCAACAGATGGAGAGGCAATGCTTTAATATTGTAATATGGTTAGCAGGTAAGCTGACACTTCAGCTAATTATGTGTCATGTTCCATATATCTGTATGGGCTCAGTGGTCCTGAATTGTGAATTTTTGTCGTCTAGGAATGACGAGAAGACAGCGACAGATTACAAGGTTCAGGGCGGCTCTGTACTACACCTGGTGCTCGCTCTGCGTGGGGGGCAATGGAGGTGATGCTGACTGTGGGACGAAGAGTTGTGATGCTGATCGTGGAACGAAGAGTTAATTGGTTTCAGCGCAAGTGCATGCTGTCTGCGCACACTGCCTTTGCAATTAGGCACTGGAAATAAATTTAGCTTCATGCTACTTGTACTTTGAATCTCATAATGCCATGTTTCATTCATTGCATTCAAACAGTCAATGTGGAATGCATTTCCTTGTTCCGTTATTACATTTCTGGTGAAGTCTCATTTTAGGAGCAAAAATACCTAGATCTGTTTCCCCCGTTACAAAAAAAAAGTTTGCAAGCAGTATTCAGTCTTATTAGTTGATCTTTTCTCTAGTTTTTTTTAGCCATATATTCTATAAAATTCAATCCCCCCCCCCCCCCCCATGAATGCTGTGTCTAAAAGAAAGCTTCTTATTTTGGGGCAAGGGTCCAGATATCAAGGCATGCTATACTCATTCAAGCAATGGTTCCAGATTGATTTTGTGAAGTGGTGAATTTCTTTGTCGCCATTAGTCAGAACTTGCAAAAAAAAAAGTTTCCTTTTTGGTGCAACGCAGTCTCCAAAGGTGAAGATCGGCATACTTGTCGGCTTAAGTTATTTTCTTCTGCCACCAGGTCTACTGCCAAATTGAAATGAAAGGTTTGAGGCAGCTTCAGTGGCACTGCAGGGTCTCGTTACAGCATTAAAGAGGCCACATAGTTTGCATGAGCCCAACTTTCCTACTGTAGGGAAAGTCTTAAAATTGATAGGTGGGGTTTAACGTCCCAAAACCACCATATGATTGAGAGACGCCGTAGTGGAAGGCTCCGGAAATTTCGACCACCTGGGGTTCTTTAACGTGCGCCCAAATCTGAGCACACAGGCCTTCAACATTTCCGCCTCCATCAAAAATGCAGCCGCCGCAGCCAAGATTCGAACCCGCGATCTGGGGGTCATCAGCCGAGTACCTAAGCCACTAAAACACTGCGGCGGGGCGGGAAAGTCTTAAAAAAACTTTTGAAAAATTATCCTGGGTATTACCAGAGTCCTCCAAACGTTCTGAAGCACTCTGGTATTGCTTTCTTATGTGAAACTTTGGTCAACATTAAAACAAAGCGTTCTTGCAGCACTTGAAGTTGATCAGGGTAATTATCAAGTCTGGAAAGCCCACTGTGCCTTGAATATATACCAGTGATGCAAGCTTGATCGACATCTACCCGTCAACTTGTTGAACTGAATCGTTTCTTAATGTACCAAAGACACCTCAACTGTTTGTATTTCAGTCGAGCCTCTGACTGCTCTCTTGATCACCTCAAGTTAGTATATTCCAATATTGGCTGACTGAGACATGACATGATTAACACAACACGCCTGTCACTTATGTCGTGAAACCCTTAACCCCTGTAGCATGTGGCGCATGAAAATGCCCGGGTAATTGCGATGCTGTAAAAAATAGACAGTGAAAACATTTTGTGTGGGTTGAACAAGAGAAATTTATAGTTGTTATAGTTGGCAATTTTAATGTAGTAGACAAATTGGCTGCAACAACCCTTAGCCAGCAATCACGTGGTACAGATTGTAAATGTATTGCAAGAATTTTAGCATCAGCTGTAGTGGTCATGCTTGTCTTATGTAATTTGTAGTTACAGTGTTAGCTATCTGCTTTAAGAATGTAATAAACATTACATGCACTCCTTTGTCACTACAAGCTATAGTCTCATGTTGCTCATCCTTGCAGGAATGCGCCGAAGCTCATGCTACATATTCACATAGCTATTCATCTTACTAAAATACATGCATCTACTTCATAAGAGTTGACATGAAGCCAGAAAATGCAGTGCAGACAACTTGTCGCCAACTACTCGTATAAAATTTATTCCCACAATGTGTGGAATCAGAATTTTCGTTATGGTCTCTTGAAAAAAAAAAAAAAAAAACCAACTTCAGGAGAGTCAAAATAGTGCATGTGAACTCGAAAGGATCTCATTGCACATGTCATGAAAAGACTTCGAGTTCTGGGAATAGAGGATGTTGGCGTAGTTTATTGTAAGGGCAAGGAGTGCAGCTTCTGCACATTTCACTGTGCTCTGCTTATGTCCAAACTGAGAAGCATCAGTGTACTGCTTAAAACAGACATGCAGGCATACTGTAGCTGCCATGCATTGGCATACTGTATTTTTAGCGCACTGCAAAAACATTGACAGAGAAAGACAGTTTATTTCGAAAATGGGTAACTGGAAAAAAACGCAAGGTAGGCACACCCTTCTGGGCTGTTGTGTCGGAAAACAGCACCTGGCAAAAGTGTATTGCCCTCTTTCCCCTCAAAAAATGCTAAACGTGTTACAAGTTGAGGATCTGTTCTTTGTGAAAAACCAATGTTTTCTGGATCAGATCCTCATCCCATAAGTACATTAATGCTTTTTCTATAAACATTGCAGACCTGTTCTGTTCCCTGCCACACTCTTGTCTGCTTTCTTTCGTTCAGTCTTGTAGTGACCTCTTTGAAAATGTCGCCTTCATGAACATTGCCGAGATGAAAAACCAGAAATATTTAGAACTTCTTTGTTTTTAGCTGTGGTCCGCTTTTATCTTATGGGAAGGGCAGCTTTGCATACAGAAGCAGGAAATTTGTATTGGCTCCTCTATTGCACCTATTCTCAGCGATGTATTGTTAGAAAAACTGAGAATAAGATGTGTGATTGACACCCAGATTTTAAACTTGAAAGAATGCTTAGATATGTTGCCATATTTTTTATTTTTCTTGACTGCAGTTCTTCTTTAGCCGCTGACACTCTTTTCTTTGTATGCGAGGCTTATCCCCTCTAGTTGTAACACATGAATTGCCGGTTGACGGTAGTAGTAGTATTCGCTTTCTGGACATCAGCGCGTGTGTGTCGTCTTTCTCTGTCCGTGTTTCTTCGTGCGCTAAAAAATGCAGTATGACATACCAACACACACAAAATGCTACGTTACCATGCATAGGCAAATATTTCATGGTAGTGAACTAGGCATGGGCAAATATTCGAGCCCTTTGAATCTTCAAACGAATGCTAGAGTATTTGAATTTGGTTTGACACAAACTTAAATTACACGAGTACATGAAATGAATGGATACACATTTGATGGCACATAAGCCCTCCTGCAAAGGTGGCTTCAACGAGCGTGAAGGTGCCATATCATGAAATCACCTATTCAGGGGAAATTTGCACAACAGCTAAACCACACTCCAAGGTCATGTGTACATATTAGCTCCATCTCGATTAATCATTCTTCAAGTTCAAAAGTGTATTATATGGCTGAAATGTGCTAAGTATTGTAAATTTCAGTAAGTAATGTATTATCTTACTGCTCCTATTGCTATTCAAAACTTGCAAATAAAGGTTGGTCCCACTTTACTTCAAACAAAAAAAAAAGTTACATTTGCACATGCCTATTTCCAGTTTTTAACATTGTGCAAGTTATTTGTGTCATGAGAAAAGTAATCATTTTTAAATATGTTATATGCAGCAATATGTATTTGTAATAATAATAATAATGCAAAGTGTCTTTCCATTATTTGGTTTCTAATTATTTTACCAAATTACTATACACTTTGAAATTGCTTTAAATTTCAAATTTTCTATTCCCCTATCCCTACAGCAAACTCACTAAAACAGTGAACCTACCAGTTACCCAAACTTAGAGAGCAAGAATTGAAAAACATGGGCTCTTCTTTCTACAAAATGTGCCATATAGCACAATCTGTAAGCACCGTTTCATTTTCTGTGTAATTATTTTCCCAAGTGGCAGTGATTTTTTAACAGCCACTCGTAGTGCCGTAAGGCATGTCGCTTGGTTTGTTTGCGAAGATGGCAGATGGCCCAGTTGTGAGTACCTTTCGCGAATGGTATTTTGACAGCGGAGCTGCTACAGTCAAGCTATGTCATTCCACAGTGATGTCAGCAGTATAGTCAAGCCAGGAAGGCGGCAAGCGCATAGCAAGAGGGAAAGCCCAGCACAAAGTTGGGAAAAAGGCTTAAGCAAGGTGAGCAGGAAGGGAGAGAGTAAGGCAATAGAGTGTCAAGGAAAGGAATGAGGAGATGAGGAGGAGGGAAGTGATCGAAGAAGGCAAGCAAGGGAGTGAGTGACTGAGCAACGCACAACAAGAGGGAAAGCATAGAACAAGCCCGGCATAGGCAAGAGCGAAAGCCTAGCATACTACGGACATTGGGAAAGAGAAGTGGGGGGTGAGGAAAAAGGGAAAGTAAAGCATAACAAAGCAGTGTGGCACTTTCATTGTCGAGGCTTTCCTTCAGCTCTGCTGTCCATTGGCGTTTGATAGTAAAGCAGCGCCTAGAATTTTTGGACCACTGGGCGTAGCTGGGAAAGAAGTTTCAAACCCACCCCAAATATTTTTATTTTGCATGTCTATATAAGGCACACATACAAACAGTCACACAAAAAGGGTCGTGGATTCACCTTCTTGGAAAATAAAATTTATACACACCTGCTTTGGACGGTTTTATTGAAAATAATTTTTCGGCTGTTTCTAGCAGAATTTACTGTGATGATTATGACAGATCATGGGAATACAGTGAAAGCTAATTGATTCAAACTTACAGTTAATTTCAACTGACATCATGATCCTGGCACAATATCATGTATTTCTATTGGGGAAGACTCCCGATAATTCGAATGTATTGGTATCCACAACGGTTAATTTGAACGCAGAGCCCCGGGCTTTCATCACTCGTCGATGAAGTCAGCCCAGAATGATCACAATGTTTCATAAAACTAAACCAAACCAACCCAATTTAACTAGGCACAAAACAACAAAACAGCAGCATTTCTCAGCAGATGAAAATTCAGACGCTATGCTGGATCTTGAGGACAAAAAACAAATGATGCTTATGGAGTTGTGACTAAAGAAACTGAAGAAAATGCAAATCACCGCTTATTTTTAATTTTGAGTACATTAGTTATGCCATGTAAATACACAGCATCAGATATTTTGACATCAAGACTCATTGAATACATGAATGGATGTCAGTGCTTCTTTCTGGTGTATCACTGACTGACCAATTAAAATTCTGCTTGCTGCTGGAACTCCTTGAACTCAATTTATGAAATTACCTGCCACAAATGTGTAGTACAGCCTAAATACGAGTCCAGAGGTAGCTATTTAGGGTTCTGCCT